ATAAACAATAATTAATCTTTTATTTCTATAATATTAGTCAAATGTATTATTCGTGTCAATTTTGTATTATTCGTATTTGACACTAATTTAATCTATTTATTATTCTTGTTAATAGGTTATGTAATTTACAGGTTCGTGTTAAGAAATAAAAAATTATAACTCATAAATTTTGTGTTGAGTTTGAATCATTTTGTTGTGTTAAGTTCGAGTCGTTTTGCCGTGCTGTATTAAAAATTATCACCCCCTACTACTTTTCACAAGTTCATTACTCTTAGTAGTAGTTTTCTGGTTTTTATGTGCAGATTACATAAAAACGACATGAATATTGTACGAATAAAATAAAATAAAATAAATATAATATAATTCATAAGAGGGACATGAACACTGTACAAATTAAAATAGTATGATTAAATGCGGCAGCATCCAAAATAACAAGAATACCACCGCATTAGTTCCATACAGCATTGAACGGACCCTGCTGTTTTACTTTCCGTTATCAACTTTGGTCTCTATAAATAGGAGGAGAAGCCTACGATACATCCTATGGATTTTCGGTATCATACCAAAAATTTTAAATTATAATATTAGTGGTATGTTTACTAAATATATGGTATATTTACACCGATTAGTAGACAAGACAAAACATACCGTCTAGCAGTCATTAAGTCAATTGAGGGCAAAATTATAATTTTAGTGGGAAGTTTACGACTATAGTGAATAAAATTACAATATTAGTGAAAATTTTACAACATTTGTGGGAATATTTACCAAATTTGTGAGAATTTTTATAACTTTAATAGTATATTTACTAAATTTGTGAAAATATTTACAACTTCAATGGTATGTTTACCAAATTTGTGAAAATCTTTACAACTTTAATAGATTCATTACTAGTCTATGATCGATCAAATATGATTTTGATCGATCAAATCTTCCCAACACATACCACTGAGGTTGTAATTATTCCAATAAAAGTGGTAAATGATCTATTGAAGTTGTATATCTTGGATTAGTTGTAAAATTTTCATATGTTAAGCACACATGTGTGTTCTGATCGATCGATCATATATACTGATCGATCATAGACTAGTGATTCACTTTAATTGTTAAATTTGTAAAAATATTTACAATTTCAGTGGTATGTTTATCAAATTTGTGAAAATCTTAACAACTTCAATGGATCATTACTAGTCAATGATCGATCAAATCTCGCCAACACATATCACTGAGTGGGAATATTTACAATTTTAGTGGTATATTTATCAAATTTGTGGGAATATTTACAACTTCAGTTTTATGTTTACCAAATTTGTGAAAATCTTTACAACTTCAATGGATTCATTATTAGTCCATGATCGATCAAATATGATTTTGATTGATTAAATCTCCCCAACACATACCACTGAGGTTGTAATTATTGCCATAAAAGTGGTAAATGATCCATTGAAGTTGTATATCTTGGATTAATTGTAAAATTTTCATATATTAAGCACACATGTGTGTTCTGATCGATCAATCATATATACTGATCGATCATGGATTAGTGATTCATTTTAATTACCAAATTTGTGGGAATATTTATAAATTCAGTGTTATGTTTACCAAATTTGTGAAAATTTTTACAACTTCAATAGATTCATTATTAGTCCATGATCGATCAAATCTCCCCAACACATATCACTGAGTGAGAATATATTACAACTTCAGTGACATATTTACCAACTTTGTGAAAATATTTACAATTTCAGTGGTATGTTTATCAAATTTGTAAAAAATTTTACAACTTCAATGGATTTATTACTAGTCCATGATCGATTAAATATGATTTTAATCGATTAAATCTCCCCAACACATACCACTGAGTGAGAGTATTTACAACTTCAGTGATATATTTACTAGATTTGTGAAAATATTTACGACTTTAGTGGTATGTTTACCAAATTTATGAAAACCTTTACAACTTCAATGAATTCATTACTAGTCCATGATCGATCAAATATAGTTTTGATCGATCAAATCTCTCTCCAGTACTTTTACTTCTAATTCACAATACAAATCAACAATAACATGATCGATCAAATTTAGTTACCAACGATTTGATCGATCAATATATCATTCTATTCGATCAAATTCAATTACAATTGACTGATTTATTCAATTTTTTTTAAAAAAAATGGTGTTAAGTTTTTTTAAAAAATTGGATAAATTATATTTTTATAAATTTTTTATAAAAAAATTAGTTTCATAATTGGATTTAAAAATTGAATTTTTTTTTCAAATTGGATTGAAATTTTTTTTAAAATTTTTCCAATTTTAAATATTTTAATTGTTTTCAATTTTTTAAATTTTTTTTAAAAAAATAATTCTATTTTTTTTTAATTTTTTTAGAATTTGTTCATTTTTTTAAAAAAAAATTGGATAAATCAATCAGTTGTAATTGAATTTGATCGATCAGAATGATATATTGATCGATCAAATCGTTGATAAGTAAATTCGATCGATTAAACATATATTTGATTGATCATGTTATTGTTGATTTGTATTGTGAATTAGAAGTAAAAGTACTGAAGATATTTGATCGATCATGAACTAGTAATGAATCTATTGAAGTTGTAAAAGTTTTCACAAATTTAGTAAACATACCATTGAAGTGGTAAATATTTCCACAAATTTGTTAAATATACTATTGAAGTTGTGAATATTCTCACTCAGTGATATATGTTGGGGATATTTGATCGATCAAAACCATATTTGATGACTAGTAATGAATCTATTGAAGTTATAAAGATTTTTACAAATTTGGTACATATACCACTGTAGTTGTAAATATTCTCACAAATTTGATAAATATACTACTGAAGTAGTAAATATTTCCAACCAGTGGTATGTGTTGAGGAGATTTGATCGATCAAAATCATATTTGATCGATCATGAACTAGTAATGATCCATTGAAGTTGTAAAGATTTTCACAAATTTGGTAAACATACTACTGAATTTGTAAATATTCTCACAAATTTAGTAAATATTCCTACAAATTTGGTAATTAAAGTGAAGTACTAGTCCATGATCAATCAGAACACACATGTGTGCTTAATATATGAAAATTTTACAACTAATCCAAGATATACAACTTCAATGGATCATTTACCACTTTTATGGAAATAATTACAACCTCAGTGGTATGTGTTGGAGATATTTGATCAATCATGGACTAGTAATGAATCTATTGAAGTTGTAAAGATTTTCACAAATTTGGTAAACATACTACTGAAATTGTAAATTTTCTTACAAATTTAATAAATATACCACTGAAGTTGTAAATATTGTTACAAATTTAATAAATATTCTCACAAATGTAAAATTTTTACTAATGTTTTAATTTTGTTCATTATAGTAGTAAATTTTCCACTAATGTTATAATTTTGCCCTTAATTGACTTAATGACTATTAGACGATATGTCTTGTCTTGTCATTTTAATGTGTTGTCTTGTCTATCAACCGGTGCAAATGTACAATAAATTTGGTGAACATACCACTAATGTTATAATTTGAAATTTTTGGTATGGTATAAAAAATCAACGGGGATGTATCGTAGCCTCTCCTAAATATGATCAAGATCACCATTCTTCTTGCGGATTACCGCTCTCGCTCTCTCTCTCTCTCTCTCTCTCTCTGGTATTGAGCTCAAACTTCAAAGGCGTACCAGTCAGAACTATCCTCTGTAACCTCACGATGTTTGCTTTATATTCTCATTTCCCTTTGTGTTTAGCTTTTCAATGTTTCTTTGTAGCATATATCTCTTCGCAGAAGACATTTTGGAAATCCATTCCATGTCAAAGGCCTGTCCGAGGCTACAATGTTCACAGTAGAAAACACGCAGAAAAAGTCCTCGCTGCTTTCCTTTGGGATTTGCATTTTGCGGTACCAAATAAATAGGGGTCAAATTATAACTTAAAAATGTCGGTTACAATTCCTTGAAGTCAGTTATGACTTGACAAAATTTGGTTCCATCCTAAAATATTATGATTAATTCTATATGGTAGGTTGTTTATATTTTCATGCAATCTTGCTAAGTTAAGTCATAAACTCGCATTTATTTTATAGTAATTTTTGATATGATATTAAGAAATAACTCTTCGATACGGTGGATGTGTTGAAAAACTATCCCACAATGACCTCCCATATATAGATACCTTATGAATGCACAATTTATGCAATCTTCACTCATACACATCAGGTCACCAAGTGTTTGACTATTGCGGAAAGCATGGTTCTGCATAACAGTAATAATCGTTGTAAGTATAATGGTAACGTTGTAACGGACACAAAATGTAACGGATGTTATGTAACAATAACAAAAATTAGATTTGTAAATTTTTAATTTTTATTCACAACTCCTAAAAATAAATTATGTATGTTTCAACTCTAAAACTGTTGAGATATAAGTTTTTAGTGGATTATAGTTTATTTTATTATATATCATTATAAGTTACTTTAGATCTTAAATAATTTTAGTTTATATCTTAGCTTAAACATATAATTTTACAATGATTTTAAGTCAAGGGAGAAGAAAAAATTAATAGAAAAAATCATAAAAATCAAAAAATGTTTTAATTCATTTGACCAGCCTAAGACCCATTTGACCTTACGTGTTTTATACAAGGGAATTGTTGAGCAATAGGTCTACCTGTAATATTTTTGAAATTTAATTTATTGATTTAATTTATTATAATATTTAAATTGACTGTAGAGTCTATTAAACATTAAAACTTGATATTTATCTAATTATTCTACTGAAATCACATCATAATATCAAAAATTAAGTCAAATTTTTAAATTTAAATAACATTATTCCCCCGACACTTGCGCGACGTAAAATTCTCAAAATATCCACTCTTCAATCAAATTTGAACAGGTGGCAGCCTTTTCATTCACACACTTTTTAGAGGTGCAAAATGTTAAATTATTGTCCTGTCTGTCTCTTTGCCCACCCATTTTTCGCCCCCAATATCCTCAGCTGATCACAGGCAGGAAAGAAGAAACGGTGGAACAAATGACCTTTTCTGTCTGTAAACTCTGTGGTGGTTCGTGGCCAATGCCATGGTGCCCATGGCAAAGTGGACTGTGATTGTTTGAGGAATTAGTGCGGTTGCTGTCGAAGTGAGTGACTGCTACGGGTATTTGTTGGTGGGCTTTATCAATTTTGTAACATTTTGTGAGTTTTTTCTTATCAAACTAACTGTTTTGGCTGAAATTTGTAGCCTTTAACCGGGTATGGGTATGGCTTACAATTGTAGTATTTAAAACTATGGCCGGAAGTGACAGCATGAAGATTAATGTGAATTCATCAACCATGGTGCAGCCAGCAAAGTACACACCCAAACACACACTCTGGGTCTCCAACTTGGACCTTCTTGTTCCAAGAATTCACACTCCCACTGTGTATTTTTACAAGCCAAATGGAACCCAAAACTTCTCTGAAGCTCATCTCCTTACAGAGGCTCTTAGCAATGTCCTTGTGCCCTTTTACCCTGTTGCTGGGAGGCTGCAGAGAGATGAGAAAGGTAGATTTGAGCTGTACTGTAATGGGGAAGGTGTGTTGTTCGTGGAGGCAGAGTCAGACTCCACTGTCGATGACTTCGGGAACTTTACGCCGTCGCCAGAGCTTCGGCAGCTGATTCCGGCTGTGGATTATTCTGCTGACTGTTCCACTTATCCACTGCTGGTGCTACAGGTACACACAGAGCTTCATAATCTTTGCAAAATATGAACTAGATAGCATACTTTACTTGCAAGCCAGTTTTTGTCCATCGATGACAAGTTTTTAGCCAAGACCAAATCAAACAGGTGGGACGGTTTCCCATCCAGAAGGGTTGGAAACGACACTTTACTGTAATACTAATCATGAATATTTCCGATCGAACTACATAAACTTTTCCTCTAAACAATCATTCGAATCTCTCTTGGACTAACAATCTTAGGCCAGTTATATTTTTTGTTTTCAATCATAAAAATGTCCGAAGGATGAGCCAATTATAGTGAGTTTTGACTTAAAATGGTGTCCACGAACTCTTATCATTGCAGAGTTTTTGGAGGGTACGATGTCGGCAACGGTAAATATGAAGAAATTGTTTTGGGTGGAAAATATCTCCTTCTCATCTTAATAAAATTTTTATTATTATATTATTAAATCTACTATTTCTATTGTTTTCAACTAAGTTCACCATATGCTATATACATTTTTTTAATAACAAATTTACCTTTTATCTTCTTATAACTAAGATTTCATTCACTATCTCCTCTCATTCATCCTATACAAAATAACTTTTTTAATATAAATTGATAAGAAAAAATAAGTAAATCTTTTTGTATCCCATTCTAGTTAGATCAACACAAGGGGCAGCAACTTGTTTTGCTATAGTGTGGGTAACAAAATTAACTTCTCTTTTAATTGACACAAATCGGATAAAAGAAATCTATTGAAGGTGGACTTGTTATTAAATGGTGTAAATAACATGGAGTTTGCTTAGTTAAAACGGAGTTGATAAAGAAGAGGTGGACTTTTGTGAATGAATATTTGTTGGGTGAGAATAGACTCACCCAATTATTTTTGCGACTCAAACCAACAGCACTCGAGTATAATGGAGTAACATTACCATGTAAAGTCTGTCTACATCAAAAAAAAAAAATAGTAATACTATTAGAAAATGGCAGGGATTTCGGACCATTCAGTTGTGAAACATGTTTTTTACCTCAATTATATGGTACATTAGAATGACATAATTAAGGCTTTTATTGAATATTAAATAAAAGCACCAATTCAATGTTGTCCTCATTTTGTATTTTTCAAGCAAAATGACTGCTACTGAACATGATAGTGTTGAAAACATTAATTTTCAAATCTTTCTTGCTATAATAATTAATCAATATGTTTATGGCGGCACAGGTGACCTATTTCAAGTGTGGGGGAGTGTCTCTTGGTGTGGGGTTACACCATACTCTTGCAGATGGAATCTCAGCTCTCCATTTCATCAATGCATGGAGCGACATGGCACGTGGCATACATCTGAGGATCCCACCCTTCTTGGATAGGACTCTACTCCGTGGTCAAGACCCACCCATCCCTGCATTTGATCACATTGAATACTACCCTCCTCCCTCGTCAAACCTACAATCACCTCCAAAAACAACTTCCACAGCCATCTTGAGAATCACAGCTGACCAACTTGCCATTCTGAAAACCAAGTTGAAGGGAGAGAAAGACCAAAAAAGGTACAGCACCTATGAGGCAATGGCTGCTCACCTGTGGCGCTCTGCATGCATGGCCCGTGGACTTCCTGATGATCAAGATACCAAGCTCTATATCGCTACCGATGGACGGTCCAGATTAATCCCTCCACTACCTCCTGGCTATTTTGGCAATGTTCTCTTCACAACCACATCAACTGCTCCATCAGGGGGGATTCAATCCGAACCATTTAGGAGCACCGTAGACAGGATTCACAATGCTCTATCACGGATGGGTGATGATTATCTGAGGTCAGCTCTAGACTACCTCGAGTTGCAGCCTGATCCAACGGCTCTGATTCGAGGGGCCCACACTTTCAATTCCCCAAACCTCAACATAGTCAGTTGGATCAGGCTACCTATATATGATGCAGATTTTGGGTGGGGGAGGCCTACATATATGGGGCCCGCCAGTGTCATATTTGAGGGCATGGCTTATATATTACCGAGTCCACTCAAGGATGGGAGTTTGTGGGTGAATATATGCTTGGAGGCTCATCACATGCATCTCTTCAAAAAAGTTTTCTATGACTTTGAGGCATTGTAAGCAATGAAGATTGAATCATCTTGCCCATGTTTCAAATTTCCTCTCTTATGTATCCATATATGTAATGTTATTTAATCTGCTAACGATTGAGAAATAAAGTTGGTTGTTATTTGGGAATCCCTTCTTGTTTTTTTTTTTTTGGGATGTTGGGTGTTTTTTTTTTGTGGTGATGTAGTTAGTTTGCGCATTCGATATTTCTATTTCAATTGCCTTACTTAGAATATGAGAGAAATTGAAGATAGAAGTATGATACAAAAAAAAAACACAAATAAATATGTGGTTTGGCAGGGCGAAGCCAAACTTCTTTCTTAGTGGGGACAACTTAAACTGTAATAATAATGTTTCATTTTTTCATAAAAAATAACTACATAAAATAACAATGTTAAAAAATTAGAAAAGAAAATGTCAATCAAGACCATTTGAATATATCCATCTCTCATAATTAAATTTTTTAGGTACTCCTCATTATCCATTTTTCTAAGGGATTAATTCATTGTGCATAATATTCCAAAGAAATTGATACACAATTACATTGAGTCATCATATTTCAATTCAAATCCAAATTATCAAAGCTCTAATGCCTATTGTTAACCAAAAAAAAATGTAGTAATAATACAAATCCTAATTATAGGGTCAAAAAAATGCAAAAATTGATGAAATCAAAGAAATCATTTATGTATTATCTCTCGCAAAAGTTCTGATAAAATCTCAGAAACTCTCATTTTTTTTATTGTCTATTTAATTATTTATTCGAGCGATCTAACGGACTCATTTATTGTCCAAATCTACTAAAGCTAAATACTCCCCTAATTCCACATTAATTTTGTGACAAATTGACCATATATAAAATTATGATTTGTGACCACTACAAATAGTTAGATAGATTTATCCAAAGAAGAAAAAATATAAGCCATTGAAGAAAAGTGATCAAGTTTGACCCAAATCATACCTTTTTTGGTGTATCCCTTAATTAATCTAGCCATCCATGCAATTTTGGTTGGAATTAATCAAATTTTGGTTTCATTTAATATGTTGGATTCAAGGGGAAAGTCATATACGGTTAGGATAGCTTTATTTCAATTGATATGTTGGATTCAATAATTGGACAGAGCTATCAAATTTACTAGTGGCCGACACATGGGCCCTACATGTTTACCAAAATACAAAATGGCAGAGACGAACCCACGTTTAATGTGCATAAATAGTTATAAATCTTCAAAAAAATTTCAGTGGGGGGCAATATTTTAAAAGTTTGAAAATTCTAAATACATCCCAAAGATTTTTAAAATTGCAGTGGGGGCAGCTGCCCCACTGTAGATCCGTCCCTGTGGTTTGGCACGTACAGATTTGACGCACATTCACGGACATAACGGCTTATAAATTACATGTGATGTATTTTTTTAACGGTGATTGATTACATGAGGTTTAATCTTTTTTATAGGATAAAAATTAAACAAAATAAAAGATAAATCACATATATTTATCTCTTTTACTTATCCAAACAAACCTAAATTCCTACCACCATAAATACCACACACTTTCTATAGAATCTCAATTCGGACTTTTGACACTCAGTTCACAACAGAGTAATTTTATCACTACGCAAAAACTCACCCTCATTCTTATCAATTTAATAATAAAAAATAAATAATGAGAGAGAATAAAAAAAAAAAAAGAGACAAGAAAGATATATAAGGTGGCTGAGGAGTATTAAACAGATTATCGTCAATATACGAGGAGTGATATAATATTAAAAAATTAGTTATTGTCTATGCCTGAAGGCACATAGTAATAAAAAATGATAAATAATAAATATATTTATATTCATATTCAAAATTAAATAGTAAACATAAAGAAGAAATAAAGAAATTTAAACATCGATTTGTAGTGGGGTTGAGAGATAATGGGCGGTAGGGGTGATGGTAGGAAACAATAATAGTTATGGTGGCGGTGATAGTGGTGGTAGTGGCGGCAATGCTGGTGATGGTGGTGGCGACGACGGTAATAGTAATGACGGTGGTGATAGCTGTGGTGGTGGAGGTGGTGGCGACAATGGTGGTGACAGTGGTGGTGGCGATGGTAGAGATAGTGGTGGAACGGTTCAAAATAATTTTTTTTTTAAAGTACTTATGAAAAATAATTTTTAAAAACACTTTTAAAAATTACTTCAAACACATCATTAGGGGCCTATTTTTTCCTATTAAATTTAGAGTTTTAATATTAGCCGTTAGATTTAACTTTAAAGTAAAATTTAAAATAATTTTAACCGCGAATAACAAAAATTATTTTTTTTATCTTTTAAAATTTGAATTGTATGCTATTTTATATTAAAAAAATGTTCAATTAATGAAAAGTGTTTGGTACAATGACATAACACCGTGCCCCTGTTATGCCTGGTCAAGTGGAGGTGTCCAACTTCATTCAAATAATTAATAAACATTTATATCTAGATGAATTAAATCTAAATGATTATTTATATAGAGACCGAAAATGATTAGTTATTTTTTACAATTTTCTTAATAATAAATGTTACATAATTCTATATAACTGGAAAGAATCACGTTGTTGCGTGAATTATAAACAAAATGTATGCATATATAATCTATATAATAAAATAACTTACGATTCAAATATCAAAATATAAACAAAATGACTTTTGTTATTCGTGGTTGAAATCACTTTAAATTTTAATTTAAAAGTTAATATAACGGTTAATATTAACACCCTAAATTTAATAGAAAAAATAGGCCTATAAAATGTGTTTGAAGTGATTTTTTAAAACTACGTCAATAAATTATTTCTCATAAATATTTTAAAAAAATAGTGTTTGAAATCATCCTACCACTACCTCTACCACCACCACGGCCACTATCGTCGCCGTCACCACCACCGCCTCAATCGTCGTTGTCACCGCCACCACTGCCCCCATCACCACCATTGCCGCTGCCAACACAACCACCGTCGTCACCACCATTGCCGTCTCTACCACCACTGCCACAATTACCACCATCGCCACCACCACACCACCACTATCATTACCATCGTCGTCGCCACACCGCCGCCTTTGTCGCCACCGCCGCTACCACAATCATTGCCACCCACCACAACCATTACTGTCTCCTAACACTACCATTGCCGCCCACCAACCCTCAGCACCAC